CACGCAGACAGTCATAGGACAATCTAAATTCACTCAGAAGAGTAATATGTATAACGTAATGTTACCATGGTTCAACACAGGACTTCTTACCAGTGCAGGTAATACCCTTCAGGAAATATTTAAAAATATGCAAAATCACAACCGTCTAAGCAAAACTACAATTCGCAGCGGCTACTGCGATACATACTTACTTTTAATTTTTCATACGCAGTATAAAAATCATGAAATAATTGCCAATTTGTTTTGACTTCACAATTATTAAAATATTCCGATATATTATACGTTTGCAAGATGCGATCATTGGACTCTGGACAATAAACATTTTATTAATTATGTATTTCGAAATATATTTCGTTTTTTTGTTAAGTGAGAACAAACAAATATGCGATATGCTAAATAAAAATGCATTGAAAGAGATACGGCTATCGTTCGATTTACTTACAGGTCGCAAGTGGCAGACACGCAGGAAAATACTAACGCCTGCCTTTCATTTCAATATGCTTCGGGAATTTTCAGACGTTTTTATCAAGGAAGGGGAACGGTTGATCGGGAAACTAAAGGGTGAAGGAAGGCCTGTTATTAAAGATCTGAAGATGTTGATCAGCGAGCACACTTTAAATATCATTTGTGTAATCACAATTAAATCGAATTCTTAATTGTTGGTCAATTGAATTCTTCGACTGAGAGAAAATATTGGAAGAATGTAGTAACAATGTTTGGTTCTGCCTTTAGAAACTGCAATGGGAACGTCTCTTATTGATAAAGGACAATTTCAATTCAAATATCGCAAAGACGTGCACGATATGGGAGACACTTTGCTGTATAGGTAAAGAATTTGAATGCGCTCTCATTTTTATCCTACACTACGCCAGGCATGGGCAAAAGTGGCTCTCGGGAGCCACGGCCTTGACCGCGAGGTAAGGTGGGGATACTTGAAGCTATGTAACGTACAGATGCGTATCTACATTTACGAATAGTGGGAAGAGCGACTAGTATGGGGAAAAATGTGTTGCAAAGTACGCAAACGATATTCGGATGTACTCTTTTTATAGATTATTTAGACCATGGTTGTTCATCCATTTTATCTTCTCCCTTACACCTGTAGGAATGCTACAATCTAGACTGATTAAAATATTACATGGCTTTACAAAACAGGTAACGGCATACTTTTTATTTCGAATACTTAGAGTATCATTGATGCAAAATGTGATATGTTACAGATCATTAAGGAACGTAAGGAGTACCACGATAAGACCAACGGTCGCTATCTAGCTGATTTCAGTGACAAAGCGAATGAAGACACTGATGATATGACATGCAACCGTACGTTATATAAACGATTAATCGTATTTAATTAATGGTACTTATGACATAAATGTTTATTTGTTGATAGTTCGCAGAAAGAGGCTTGCCATGCTCGATTTACTTTTATCGGCACATCGACACAATCTAATAGACGAAGAAGGTATTAGAGAAGAAGTCGATACGTTTATGTTTAGGGTGCGTCTTTGTCTTGGAAATAAAACTATCTTTATCAAAATAGACTCCGTATCTTATGTTTTGCAATTTCTAACAGGGACACGATACGACGGCTATATCCATTTGTTTCACTATAATGCTTTTGGCGGAACACCCACAGATTCAGGTAACTTCTTAAACGGAGAGTAAAGGAAAACGTTTGATACATTTCACGATGACGTTCTCAGGATCGAGCCAGGGCTGAAGTGAAAAAGATAATGGAACCGAGCAACGGAAAGCTAAGTATGTCCGATCTTCAAAAATTACCGTATCTCGAAATGTGCATCAAGGAGTCGCTAAGACTTTATCCAAGCGTGCCTTTGATATCTCGTGCTCCAGAAGAGGACGTGACGTTAAGTACGCATCGAAACAACTTCTACAGTTTCTTATTTTCGGTTTATTAAATAACTGAGAATCTTTTGCTATTTTTCAGGTAATTATCTGGTACCTGCCCACACTACGGTGACCGTGCACATATATGATACTCACAGAGACCCGAAGTTCTGGCCAAATCCGGACGTCTTTGATCCGGAACGCTTCACACCTGAAAATTGTCATGGACGACACCCGTACTCGTACATACCTTTCAGCGCCGGTCCTAGGAATTGTATCGGTAAGGAAACGAAATGAGAAAAACGTTGAGGAACGTAGTCATAAATGTTGAATTTCTACAGGGCAAAAATTCGCCATGTTGGAACTGAAAGCAACTCTGGCATACCTCTTGTTTAATTTCATTTTCGAGCCTGTAGATTATCTTAAAGACGTCATTTTTGTACCAGACCTTATCATACAATCGGCACATTCTTTTCGAACTAAGTTTATTCCGCTGCAGGTCGTCGGTTGATATACGTCAGGACATGTTGAGTAGTTGGAACAAGATTTGCAAAGGTGACGATCACTTTTAATAGATGAAATAGAAAAAGAATGTACAGATACAGAATTTACATTCCTAACCGACAAAAGTTCGCTAGATAAAATGTTAATCGTGTTGTAAAATATGAATTAAAAATAAAGACGATATACACTTAGCGAGTGGCTTATCCATTGTTGTCTCACCTTCGTCATCTCGCGCTTAATATAAACGACGATAGTGTGGACAATCTAACTCAGTGAAATCAAACATTTTCTATAAACTCAGTGTAAAATCAAACTCAACGTTTAAAGTAAGCTCATTCTTTTGTAAGGCGAGAACTTTATTTATTGATTAAACGCGCTTTAAACATCCAACGCCTCCCTTGGTTTCGCAGTAACACCGTTATCCGATCCATATCGCATGATCCTTGCAACTCACTCTCATTCCCATACACACTAATTTTAAGTGGTCGTCCTGCCAGGGAAATAGCCTACTCTTAGCTAAACTCATATTCATACAATTTAACTTATGCACTGTTGTCTATTATTTTTGAAGATATCACTACTCACATCTTTTAATTTCTTTCTTCTTTTCTTTCTACATCATCCCTTTAGACATCGACTCTGTTGATTATGTTGAATAAATTTCTTCTTTCTTCGAATGTTGTTCTGTTGCGGTATTACTGGTGCCTTGAAGCTATTGCCTTCCTAGGAAAATGCGTGAAATGAGTGTGTCCGTATTTTCTCTCTGATATCACGTCGGTATAGGAACTTCGAGATATAACACTAGATTCAGCGGATGCGTTTTCCGTACCTTCTTCGCTTGCGTTAACGTCCTTGGGAACCCTGTACAAATGCCAAACTATTGTATAAGATTATAAGAGTAATATATGTAAGAAGAGTGTATAATCTTTGCTGTGAGAACATAGACAATGTTGCCGTTCGAAGCGGATGTTGGTCTCGGATGACCAAAGTCGGCATCGAGTGAGAATAAAGGATTCGATGACGACCGATGAGAGCTGGAGCAGTCGATCCAGACGAGTCGAGGCGCGAACATTGACGGTTACGATTATTAAGTATACATGTACATCTAACTGTTAACTTCAGTACGAATTATTATTCGCTCTAAACCCCAAGTGTATCGTCGAAACCTTTCCAACTTGGAAAAATTCCGTAATTCAAAGTTTATGAGGATGAGGACTTTTTAGGAGTTAAATAAAACCTAGATTTGAGCCAGACAATTTAAGGATATTTATTGGCTCGACAAAAATGATTAGAGGAAAAAGCCATGTGGCATAAAAAACCCCTTGAATGAATTGTATGTTGACAAAAGAATCGATGAAAGTGCAAACGGTCAACTGTATGAATGTGTGTATGTTGTGTATTAAGAGCAATTGCACGTGGGGCAATTGTTCTACGGATCATGTGTACGATCGCATTAATCGGCATCGAGCCGTCGTAATGAAAATCAGAGTGGTTACACGAAGTAACCACTCACGGGTCATAAGTGATTATGACCGCGTCCCTCAATATCGAATTGAGACAATGCATAAGTAGAGTGGTTACATGGAGTAACCAATTCACGGGTCGTAAATAATTACAACCGCGTCATTCAGTATGAAACTGAGAACCTGTGAAGGTAGAGCGGCTACACGGGTAGCCACTCACGGGTCGTATGTAGATACGACCGCGTTTGATGAAATTATTCGGGATTGACCGATCCCGCACTCGCGAACGCACTATGACACCGTTTACGATCCGAACTGCACCGATTCCTCGAGACGACTGATTCAAAATTATATAGTGATCGGCTGAGAACACCCGCACGAGAGGGGAAAATGTTTAAACAAAATACTCGCCATGAAAGGCAAAGGAAACTGTTGAGTTATTTACGACCGCACGTGTTTACGTTAAGACCGATACGAGAAGACATTAACAGACAAAGACCCTGCCCCGGCTCGTATCTCGAGGCATAGGGCTATTCCCGGTGGTCTACGGCCCGAACCACTTGAAACGAAAAAATCCTTCGGTCGCGGTTAAACTGTTACTTCCGCGAACGAACACCAAGGCCCTCCTTATAATTTCAAAAGTGGGATTTTGCTCGTATAGAACTTCTGTCTGCAGTTAACGTATACAGGGTGTAAACCTACTGGTGGGCAATATTTTAGGGACGTGTCCTAGGGTCGAAAATAAGACGAAAATGAAGAGAGAAAATTGCGTTTGGGGCTTCGTTAATTAGTTATTAACGTTTAAACATTTGGCGTTTCTGTCCCTGAAATAGAACAATCCGACTTGCATCGGCGGGTGTTTTTACCATACGCGCAGCTGATCGTCGTCGGTCAATGCATGTCGATAACGATGAACAGGACCATAGTTATAATTTGTGGGTTTACCTCGGGTGACGAGTGGAGAACGCAAATTATTTTAAATGATGTGCCTCGCATTCCTCCTAATTACTCGCTAAATCCACAAGAGCACATCAGAACAAGCTCTATGGGATTTTCGAGTCAGGAGGGTGAATGCTCTTTTCTTCGTAAAAAAGAGAAATATCCACAACAGTACTGTTGGAGCTTGATGCTCAGTGGAATACATCCAACAGAGTAAGCTGTTGTTAACGTGAGTTTAATATAAGAGAACAGAGAACGTGTTGAACGTCTTGGGTACAGGAGATCAATAACGCAGAAGAAGCGGTATAACAAACAATAAAAGGTCGTTACTAGACGATAGCTATTAAACAAAAGGGTGCTGTCGTCAGGGTGCTGTCGTCTATGGGGTGACTGTTGGATTCGGGACACGTTAAAACGAACTGTTCCAACAAGTACACATGCACCAAAATTATTCCGTTCGTAGAGATTATTAATACACACACACATACACTCCGGCCACGAGTGTCTATTTATAAGGGTGTCTCGTCTGTAATATTTATTAAAATAAAAGTTCATGCACTGCGGTTATTCACATAAACTAGGCTTCCATACATATACGCGTTTTAGCACAAATACAT